ATTTCCTCTTTAATAACTCTTTAATCCTATTTAAACTAAAATAAATTACTAAGGGATTATTATAGTATAGTTTAATAAACTTAATATATAATTTACCTAAAACTAGAATATCTAAGTAATTACTATAATAAAGTAAATCTAAAAGATTTACTTTCTAATATCTACTAACTAGTTTACCCTTTAAAATAGCTTCTTTATATTTATAAATTATAATATATTTATTCTATAACTAAGTTATAAGACTCTCTTTATTATTAGAAATACTTTCTATAAAAGTATCTTCTACTACTATTATAGTATAAATAACTCTAGATAATATATATTAAATATAACTTAATTTCTTGTAGAAACTAAAATTATCTAATTTGAGAGAATAAGTAGATAGATTCTAAATAGATTTCTCTCTAGTACTATTATATCTATTTTCTATTAATTTTCTACTATTATATAAATAATTTTAGGTTATTATAATCTAAAGAAACTTTAATTTATTATAGATTTCTTTTAAAATATTAATACTAGTACTTAAATAACTATACTATCATATATAGCTTATAATCCAGGGTTAAATAATAAGAAATTAGCTATATTTTATATCTTTCTTAATACTTTTAAGATATCTTTACTATACTTCTTTATTATTAGATTCTAATAAAATTCTAACTATTCTAGATCTAGATATATTTATTTCAATATAAATAGATTAGTTAGAATTAAAGAAATATAGTAAAGATATCTTAAAAGTATTAAGAAAGATATAAAATATAGCTAATTTCTTATTATTTAACTCTACTACTCTAGGCTTTTTTTCGATTTTTATTTTCCTTAATGAGTTTAGTGGAAGATAATATAATTAAGGAGTATTAGTATATAAATTAATAATAAAAAAATTATAGAATCTAAAAAAACTTAGATATCTCTAAAAATCTAAGATTATTATTATTCTTAAATAACTATAACTCTTTACTTATCTATTAAAATACTATTATAACTAATGATAAAACTGAGAAATTTAACTTCTATCTAATAAAAATATACTTAGATACTTTATGCATAGCATCGGTCCAGAGCACTGTATGACAAATAGTATATTACCTCTGTCCTTCTACCTAGGAACAACTAGGATTATGACCTTGGTCTTCTTTTTCTGGCACTCTGTACAAGCAAGAGAAATGTTGCGCCGAGTTTCTCTCTTCTCCACCTGAGCTCGGCGCTCTCTTTGGTTGCTCTAAAAAGTACCGTGCAAATAGCAAACAAATAATCCAGCCTGAGATCCTCCACTCGACGATTGATCTAACACTCGGATTAGCCTGACCCAAGGGCTCGACAGATATGTTGTGGTCAAATCTAATAATGATTAGTATTGTACAATCGAAATTAATCAAGCACTTCTGCTTTAGCGAGTCCTCAAATTTGCTTCGGCTTCGAGGGTATTGCGAAGGCACTCAGTCTACGCACGAGACCGTCTCACGGCCGGAATAATGTGATCCCGCTATCTGCACCTCTCAATTGACAATAGTAACCTGAATAACGGTGATATTTGGCAAGGATTTCAATGAGTTTTATTATGATCGGCTTCTGTAGAAAAGAAAAAACCCCTCTAGATTCGAGGTGGGCATAATCGACGATTGAGGCAACGCCGAAACTGGCCGAATGTCTCACAGCAGGAATTTTCGGGGCCTTGATAGTGTTGGCTTTCACGCGCGGAGTATAGGGAAAGATTGTTGTGATAGTGGGAGAGATAAATTTTGATGCTATTATTTCATATCAGATGACAGTTACTTATGGCTGGTCCATCATGGCATCTAGGAGACCAGCGTCATTCTCTTCCCAGGGGTGTTCGACCTCGATGCTTCTGATCAGCTCTGCCTTTTCTGTACTCCTAGGTACAATTTCATAAGGAAAGTCTGCTAAATGACTAATGAGCCCAGGAAATACCTCAAGTTTGTATTCTTTTTCCATCCCCTGCTCATCGACTGCCTTCCTAATGTTGAAAGCTGATAGTAGCTGTGCGATGGTGAGGAAGACATTTGCGTCGGCTAAGTACCTTCCGGGGCATACCCTGCGCCCGTAGCCAAATGCCTCTGTCCTGGGATCCGGCTCGCTGCATGGATCCAGGTACCGCTTTGGGTTGAAAGTATCAGGGTCTGCATATACCTTGGGATCGTGAAGAAACCACCATATAGACGGAAGTATGATAGCTCCTTTCGGGATGAGATAGCCGCTGTAGACAAAGCTCTCGGATGCCGCGTGTGGAACACACAACGGAAAAACAGGGGACCATCTGAGGGCTTCTTTAACTACACCCTCGATATACGGTAGGTTTTCTCGGTCCTCAAACCCCGGAAGTCGACCAGTACCGACAACACGATCAATCTCCTCCTGTGCCGTTCGCTGAACCTCGGGGAACATAACCATCGCCAAAACAAAGCTTTTCAAAGTTGACACACTGGTATCTGCACCACCGGCATACATTTGCGCAGCAGTCCACTTAATAGCAAGCTCATCTTCCGGGCTCAATCTCATCTTCTCCGGGTCACCATCGCAGTATTCGTGAACTAGCTTGGAGACGTATGACGGCCGATAGTTACCGGTCTTCATCTGCCGCCGAACAAACAAATAGGGACCATCCACTACTGCCTGAAGGGTCTTGTTCCACTGCCGTGCCGTCTGCTTGAAGGCAGCTCCTGGGAATCTTTCTGGGATATAGTTCAAACCAGGAAAGATATCGACCAGCCAGGCCAGGGGAACGGTGGCGGCAGAAAGATTGGACATCATGCGGTTGATCATTTCAACAAGAGGGTCGGAGTCAGTTGGTTGAATGGAATACCCATAAGTCATTTTTAGGATAATGGCAGATGCCTCGCTGTAACATGGCGTAGTATAAGCATGAAAGTATAACTTTTGTCCACTCAGAAACATTACCTTTTCAAATGGCTGAGGATAGCCTCTGGACAATCTAGAACCCGTAGGAGAAACCGCCGCACTTCTACTTCTTGAATGTTATGGAACTGTCGCACAGCACTTTTGGTACCCATTTGCTGGTGCACAAGCTTGCGACTTCGGCGGAAGCTCTCGTTAGGCTGTTGGAAGCCTAGAAAACCGCCGTAGCCACACAATTTAATCGCGAACTCCATCACTGGACGGCCCGAGCATTGTGTCGAATTCTTCTCTAAGAGATCGCGGGCCACATTCTTGTCATGGATGATGACAACCGTTTGTCCCATCGTGGTGACAGAGCTAATTGAGCCATGAATATCTTTGTGCTTAAGCCAATACCGAAACTCTGGGAGCCCCTTTGGGGGACGATCCATGACGTTGCCCACCAAAGGAAGGGGCTTCGGCCCGGGAGGAAAGCGCGGTCGAGTCTTCTTCCGACTCTTCGTTTGATACACGAGGAAGCATGCCAGAGCAGCCAAAATGATTTGTACCATAAGAAAGGTTATCATGACGGTAAATTGAACCCGACTCTGAAGTTTTGCCTGACGTGGAAGTGACAGGGAGAAACAGAGCTACGAGGCGGGGTAATTTTATACCATACACACTCCTAAGGGCATATATCACGATCATGCAGACCTAGTAGCAAGAATAAAACCCGCATATTCCTGTGCGCTACTCCTTGCAGATATGCCAAACTCTAATTCGAAGCTTAAACTAAGCCCCGGAGATGCGACATGTTGGTTGGAGCCAAGTCACCGAATGATAGGTCCTAACTGCTAGCAGGCCCAATAGTATACTCCCTTTGGGTATCCATGCATTCGATGACTCGATCCTCATTGATCTCGATCTTGATCCCGAGATCTCGGTCGTTTGGTGTGGTGATTCAGTCCTCTGCATAGACCTGCATTGATTCCCTGTGGGGTTTTCCTGTTGCAGGTCTGATTGTGCTTTCCAGGATCAGGCCTTTTGTGTCTTTGTGTTGTAAGATACACATAGACCTTGCTCTTGTGGGTTTCCTCTCTTCTTCTTCTTCTTCCTGATCTCTCATAAATAGACAAAAGTGAATTGTTCTTTCCCTCGGCTTCATTGCGCTGGTGTCGTGAACGTCATCCGCATTCTTCTGCATTCCGTCAAAGATCTATGTGAAAGAATCACATTGAGTACTCGTGCCTGATGTGTAACGATCTTAAAGTTTATTCCAAGGACTGATTTTAGCGGTGAAGATGTGGTCTTATCTTTGGCATGGCCTAATCGAAGTGTCAAGTATCAAGCTTCGGTGTGCAGCTGGATTGGGAATTGTATTAGGATCTTTCGTTAATAATTATTTAATACCCTCTATCAGTATTGATATTGCTAGAAACTCCTGCCAAACCAGGATCGATTGACTACCTAAATCACCAGCTCTCCGATGGTGGATGGAAATTTCCAAAAGTTGCGGTGTGTGAACAGGGCCAATGAGAAGGTTTAAAGAAGTAATATGTAGGCACATACAATATGTAGGCAGGTATCTGAAAGCGGATAACCAGAATAGATAACCTCGTATCCGCAAACTGTCAGTAACGGAATTATACCTGTCAGACAATTTACCAGCTTCATCCCTGATGATACGTCAGCATCATCGTTACACTAAATAGCAAGACGGTGAGATGCGCAATGTGCAAGCAGATCGCTTGCAGATCGAGCTCAAAAATCCGCGGAGTTTTGCGAATTTTGAGAATGCACTAATTGACTGGTGAGTGTGTAATTACCAAGAATCACGCAACCTGGGATATAAATAAGAGGATCAATGTAATGGCAAATAGAAATCAATCCCAGAGTTATCAACGAATCAATACAACACGAGCTCAATCTTTATGATACATTCTCTCTAAAAGAACCTTTCTTGAAGTACGCACTTGGGACCATCATTCCTAGATATTTCAAGCGAACCCTGCTAAGAAACTGATAGTAGTGAAGCACCTCAGCCTCTTGCTACTTCTGAACCAAGAGCTGAAGCGCTCTCATTGAATCCAAAATGCCTTACATCGCCCGAACAAGTGAGCTCTCTGAGCTAGCTCTCCATGGGGGGGCTTGTTGATCCCCGAGCCGGTAAACAGTCTACTTTTGGAGAACGGATGGTCTGTCGGGATGTAACCGACTTCATTGCCAATGCAACCAAAGCCTCACCTTCCGGACGGAGACTCAAAAGGACTGGTACTAGCCACACCAACTGGAACATGCCGTGCAAAAAGCCAGCTAGCGAGTACCAGGCCAAGATCGACAGAATTCTCGCCCATTCGAGGGATATCAAGATGCCTTTGACAGGAAACTTTTTCGACCTGCCTGTGTCTGACCTCGTACCGGGGCTCGTCATCAGTGGTGGTCTCAGTCGTTCACCGGCTTTCGATGCCCTGCCTGTCGTTTCCCACTGGGCTGACAGGACCGACGAGTCTTCGGCAGAGGACCCTGATGCCGCCATCCGTATTACTTCGACGTGGGAGACCACACATGTCATTGGAGAAGGGTCCACCATGAGCTACCCTCTTGGAGCTCCCTGTTGGTTGCTCCGTACTCACGGCATAGGTCCGATGAAGACTGGGTCCAGCAAATTTGCTCAACAATATCGCCCTGAATCAGACACGCTGGTGACGACGGTCCATCTGGCCCGCCGTCGCGACACCTATCAAACTGGCGGAGTTATTGGCGCAGCCTCCGGCATCTCCTGGATGCGTAATGCACGTGTTGCAGACGCTGTTGATTGTGCAACTGGGCTGCTGCTAGATGCCGCTGCTCTCTTAGCAGCACGCGATGGGGTGATTAAAACTGGAGTGACAGAGCGTTTACCGTTCGCTGAAGTCCGTCGAGCTTACCTACCGGCGTGGTGCTCCGCTCGAAAGCCTCTCCCCCCCAAGCTAAGCGGCGTGGCACTCTCATCGGACCAGACAGTTATGGATCTTCTCGAAGAAGAGGACTGTAAAGGGCCTCTGCTTAACACCAGCATCTTCTCCATGGCACTAGGCTACAACCGAGGTGTCTACGGTGGTTCGATCTCTGGCTTGTGGGCTATCATGGATTCTGCTTTCGTCCTGGATTACACCATTGGTATCAAAAGTGCTGCGATGGCAGACAGTCTCTCTTCTGCATTTGCAGAGGTAGCTGCTATTGCTGAAGAGGCCGTTTCCGCCGGCCCACACATTACCGACATACGAGTTGTAAAGGGCTGCGATTATGCATGCTTGCGCCAGAAAACGATTATCGAGGATACCAACCCTGTCCCCTCTCGCCCGTGTATCGTTGTATGGGATGATCTTGCTCGGCTTGCCCGTTATAAGCTAGCTGATGCCGTGTTCTGCCATGTCTATTACGATGCAGGTGGCGGCGAACAGATGGCTGCCATTGCCGGTCTTGGCTGCGTTGTGCATGACTGGATTGATCTCGGAGCTGATATAGCGTGTGCAGAAGTCAGCAATATCATCCCTACTTTGACGCGGGGATCTTTAGAAGAGGAACCTTTGCTCGAGGTTTACTCGCGGTTCCTTGGTTCTATGATATGGTATCGTGACAACGATCCCTACAACCCGGCAGCCCTTTGTATTCTCTTCACGCACTGGTGGCAGCTCGCTAACTGCCGACACCGACCTATCTCACTTCTCGGCAGAACAGACTTCAGTGCGGATGCCGGAATAGCCGCCATAGTTCCGGATGGGCGGCCAGAGTTGGAACACTTCCGAGCAAGCGGTACTCAGGTTGAGCGTGGGGCGCGTCCTCTTGCTAACGCCGAGGCACGACTCCAATCCGTCCGTGACTCGAATCCATTGCCTGAAACTCGGGCCGTGATCGAGCTTCTAGTAGACCCTGTTATCGCCTACGTGAAAGGGGCTGACAGCATACCTGCTGAGAGTGAATACGTGGGAGCCGTTCTAGCTGCCGAAGTGGCTTATCCCCAAGCGCAGAAGATCATGGAGTTGTGGGACCTTGCGATCATCATGTGGGAGTGTGGCGCAATATGGGCAACTGGAGTGGCAGGCCTTTGCTATACTCATACCGGAAAGTCCAACTGTGACCGGGCTCGTGATGATTTGGCTGACACCACCTGGAGTTAAACTGTGCCAATCACGATAATTAAGCTTGAAAATCTCTCCGGGGCAATTTTTGACATCTGCTGCACCTAGTATTTTGGTATTCTTTTCATATATAATGCTAAGGTAGCGATCAATTGATGTCCACCGCTGATTCGGTGGTCTGGTCAAGTTCAGACATGTGGCATATCGAGGTACCCCTCAATGCATCCCCCATAGCAACACCGAACGAAATGAAATGAAAATCAAAAATTCGGGAGAAGTCATGCTATAGAGTTTTGTAACTCACGAAAGGAGGTTTGCCTAAGAATATTGAGAACATTGAAAGCTGGATACTGCGGTGACTGAGGTCCACCTGGCTATATGATTAGTTGAAGTGGGGGAAATGCAAATTCACCACTTTTGCACACCTTTGCTACGTGGAAACGTGGCAAGTGTTCTCAAGTTGGCAGCCACTCTGAAGTTTTTCGACGGCTGTCATCCTTCATACCGTCCTCATCATCGAGATATCGGTGAATAGGGTAGTCGATACGGAAATGCTGATGTAATTTGCACTATCATGTCCGATTCTATGAAGGAAACGGGCTATCATCTGAGAGTTGCACTCAGTAAATTCGAAACGATTCTGCCCATAAAGTAACGATTTGACCTCCTTGTAAACCGTCTTGTTCGTGCGAAGAACGTTGAGCTCCAGTTCACGGTCTCCCGACCAACAAGGGTCTATAGGGTTTTTATGCAATAAGGTATAGCTATATATCTCGTTGTGGAGTTCACCCGGAAGGTTGAAGAAGTTAGCCGGCATATCATGTGCACAAAACAGTACGTTGATTTCAAGTGACTCGATTCCGAAGGCGGGGTCGCCTTTGTCCCATTGAGCCGTTTGGTGCCTCAGACATACAACTTAATTTTAATCAAAGCTGCCTCGAAGTAACTTACTGCTGATTGACGGCTTTATCGACAATAGAAGGCTTGTTATTGGCTCGGCGCTACAAGGTTGATGCGGGGATCCTGGTCGATCTCGAACAGGTTGCGTACGATGCCCGCCTCTGGAGTTGATGGGCGGGAGACATCGGAACGATTTTGAGCGCAGTATGCTTGCTTCAAGGTATCTACTGCTTGGAATCGAGTCATGGAGACTGTGAGATTGTGAGAAGGTTTTGGACTAGATACCGCAACTTATACGGATATCAGCAAATAAGGGGTTTCCAGGACATGTTACTGTACTATATCCTAGATAAAGTATTGAAATTAATTTCACTTCCAGCTTAAATAAGATTATTTTGAAACATCTTTCACCGGTCGGACTCGGTGAATTCCATCAAAATCTTGAGAAGGCCAAAAGCCACAGAACCTTCATTTAACTGTCGCCACCCCAAGAACGAAGTTCGAAGATGGCGAACTTACCTGACTAGTGGTTTCTTGATCACCGTTGATGACTGCCAGACTAACACAATTGTCGCGTGCTCAACAATCGCAATTCATGTCCGCAAATTCCGCCAATAATGGGGACGCAGTATCCATGATTTGCGAAAATACCTCGTGAGTGTGACCGTTGAAAATTAAGTGACGATTTGAACGCTCTATAATAGTTATCATTAAGAGAAGGACTAGGGGTCATTTAGGTCTTAGATCTCTATTAATTATAATATAGGGTTGGGTAAAGGTTTTAGTTATTTTTTGAGAGTCCTAGAACATATAGAGTATATTTCTCTTTGTTTTCTAGAAAAAGCTAAACTTTTTTAAGTATTTTAATAATTATAAAAATATAGATTTAGTTCCTATATATTTTTATAAACTAGTAAGATTTTAGTTATTTTATTATCCTTTCTTTTATATTTAAATTACTATTGTCTTTATTATTATACTAGTATAATTTATACCTTTTAAATAGTTATACTTAATAATAATATTAGGAATCTAAAAAAAAATAAGAATCTTTTTTAATTAAAATATAGAGATATAGAAACTCTTATTTTATTCTCTAAGAGTTATATATAATAATTAAAATAAAATCTCTAAATGAATTTACAACTAATAAAGTCTATCTCTATATAAATATTAATATCTATATATATTTTGATATTATTTTAAATATCAATTAGAATATAAAAGTAGATAATTATTCTTACTTAAGATTAGAAATCAGAACTTATAAAAATTAGTTTAATTTCTATTCTTTTTTTAAAACTCCTAATTAAATATTATTATAATAATACTAGATTTTAAATAAACTTTCTAGATCTTAGTTCCCTAGATTTTTTAGTAATAGATAATATTTATATATTTAGTAATCTAGTTTATTATAGTTAAAATAAGTATATAAAAAGATTTTAATAGATAGATTAGATAGATTAATTTCTTCTATAATTTTATAATTTAGATTACTATTTTTTTTCTAAAAAAAATTTAGAAAAAAATAAATAAGATTAACTACTAAAATAAGAGAGATTTGTATTTAAATTAGTATTTTAATTCAGATTATTTTAATTCAGATTATTTTAATTCAGATTATTTAAATTCAGATTATTTTAATTCAGATTATTTGGATTCAGATTATTCTAATTCAGATTATTTTAATTTATATATAAACTCTAAAGAAAGTTATTTTTAAAAGTTTCTAGAATTATAGCCTTTTTAATCTTACTCTTTATTATTAGACTAATAAAAAAGTAAATTATTAAGATATAAATACTTTAAGCTTAAATTTATATTATTATTAAATAGATTATATTTCTATATCTTAGTTTTTATAAATTCTTAAATGGTCTATACTTCTTCTATCTATTTAGCTCTAGTTTCTAGAAAAATCTTCATATATTATTAAATATATAGTATTCTGAGACTTTGTATGTCTCAATAGGCTTAGGGAAGGTTGGATGAAGAAGAAGAAGGTGTTTAGCTTGTTTGATAAAGAAGATTGGTGTTTGCAATGTTTGCTGATATTGTATTGATTGTCTTGCTTGTCTTGATTGTCTTGATTGTCTTGATTGTCTTGTTCTGTGTTGTGTATGGGGGGAGAAGGTTATATATATATTTAGCTGGCTTAGGCAATATTGCTAAGTATGGTAGCAGTAGCACCGGCATAGTTACATCCGGGGCACTAGCATAGTTACACCCGGAGCACTGGCACAGTAACCCCCGGGGCACCGGCATAGTTACACCCGGGGCACCGGCATAGTTACACCCGGGCCACTGGCACAGTAACCCCTGGGGCACCGGCATAGTTACACCCGGGGCACTGGCATAGTTACACCCGGGGCACTGGCACGGTAACCCCCGGAGCACTGGCACAGTAACCCCCGGGGCACCGGCATAGTTGCACTCGGGGCACTGGCATAGTTACATCCGCTCTCTAAGGCTTGTATAGCCTAGGCAACGGTAATATTTGTAATATTCATAGGTGCCGCTCGGCCATCGGTATAGGTGCTGCTCGGCCATCGGCATGGGTGCTGCTTAGCTGTCGGCACGGGTGCCACTTAGGTGTCATCTATCGGTTGTTATAGCCGGAGCTTTGGCGTATTTTGTTATAGGGTTTTATAGTATAATATTCATATTCCCCCTTAATCTTTATATATATCTTCTTATATAGAGATTAGCTCTGAATATTAGTTATTATATTAGGTATATGATTTATAAATATAGGTTTTATCACATTTTTAGTGAATATATCAGCAATATTATCTTTTGATGGTATTGGTACTAGTTTCATTTGATTCTTTTGTATAGCATTCCTAGTAAAATGATATATGATATCAATATGTTTTGATCTTTTATGAAATTCAGGGTTTTCGGCAAGCTTTTTTGCTCCCTCATTATCTATTAATATTATAGGTATTGTATCAGTATAACCTAGTTCTAGGTGATTATTAATATAATTAAGCATATTATTTAGATATATAGCTTCTTTTGTAGCTTCTTTTAGTGCCATATATTCAGCTTCACAGCTAGATAAGGCTACTGTCTTTTGTAGCTGGCTATTCCAAGATATTGGATTTGTCAGGCCTAGGTCATTACTTAGGCTAAATATATAGCCAGTAGTAGACCTTCTATTATTAATATCATTTGCCCAATCACTATCACAATAACCTTTTATATATAGGTTATTACCAGAGCAATTATATATTAGACCTTGATTATTATATTTTAGTATATAGCACCATATATAGTATATAGCTTTGAAGTGTTCTTGGCTAGGATTTGACATAAACCTAGCACAATTTGACACAGAAAAGGCTATATCTGGCCTTGTTTTTAAGGCTAAATATAATAAAGAGCCTATTTCCTTTTGGTATTGTTTTATATCTGTGTTACTAGCTATAGTAATATTTTTAGATAGTTTTATGCCTGGTTCACCAGGTATATCCTTATTTTTATAGGTATTATTATTATATATATTAAATTTAGTTAATAATTTATCTATATATTTTATTTGAGATATATATAGCTTTTTTGCTTTATAGTCAATAGTTATATCATTACCTAGGAAGGTAGTAATTTGCCCTATTTCATCTAATTCAATAGATATATTTATTTTATCTTTTAGGGCTTTGATATAGGATAGGTCTTTATGTAATACTAGTATATCATCAACATGACATATTAGTATGCAACCATCTTTTTTATTTATATATATTCCTTCATCATATGGAAATACCTCAAAATCTAGCACTTCCAGTACTGATTTTAGGTATTGATACCATAGTCTAGGAGATTGTTTTAATCCATATAGTGCTTTATTTAGTTTTGCACATTTATTTTGATATATATCTTGGTTATATAGACCTATTGGTAATATAGTATATATCTCAGCATCAATATCAGCATGACAGAATGCATTTTTTACATCATATTGCCATATACATAGGCCTTTATTAACAGCTATTAATAATAGCATATGCCATGACTCTGTTCTGCATGTTGTTGAAAAGGTTTCTAGGAAGTCTATTCCTAGTTTTTGGTTAAAACCTTGTATAACCCATCTAGCCTTATAGCGAATAGTATTATCACTATTAGTAATATGACTA